GTGTGTGTGTGTGTGTGTGTGTGTGTGTGCATGCATGCGTGTGTGCGCGCACGTGCATGTATGTGCGTGCATGCGTGCGTGCCTGTAGTGTGTGTGTGTGTGTGTGTGCATGCATGCGTGTGTGCGCGCACGTGCATGTATGTGCGTGCATGCGTGCGTGCCTGTAGTGTGTGTGTGTGTGTGTGTGCATGCATGCGTGTGTGCGCGCACGTGCATGTATGTGCGTGCATGCGTGCGTGCCTGTAGTGTGTGTGTGTGTGTGTGCGTGCATGCGTGCGTGCCTGTAGTGTGTGTGTGTGTGCATGCATGCGTGTGTGTGCGCACGCGCGTGTGTGTGGGTGTGATACCTAAGTATGTATGTATGCACACACGATTGTATGTATGTATACACAACTGCCTTCTCAGCAGCTGTGCTAATAACATAGGCCTCAGTAGTAGTGATATGAGCGAGTGGGGGGTGGGGGGTGCAACATGAATGGATTCTAGGCAACACCCTGCGAAGAATAGGAAGCATTAAGGAAGAAATCTATCCAAGAACTGACACCACGGATGCAGCAGTACCATGCAAGGTCCTTTCCCTCACAACTGTCTCACTCCAACAGAATTACTGGGAGAAGGAAGGCGTTCTGCTGTGGGACTAGCAACAGGGTGTCCGCAGCTCCGCGCGCGTTTTCAGTTTAGCGCAGCCGATTTTAACCAAGAAAAGCTAGTACTAGCTTGTGTGTGAAACGCACCTGGATCGCTTCGTTGTCGGATCCCTCATCACCATGCACTCGGTAACCTCTCCAAACTTGCTGAAGTACTCGCGCAGTCCCTCTGTGAAAAACACGCGAAAAGCAACGAGATGTAGCTGCGCGCTCACACACACTCCTGAACACTCGATCTCGACTCGCGCGCTCCCCCCGCGTGCATGCATGCACGCGCGCGCACGCACGCGGACCACCACCGCGGCGTACGTACCGTGGACCAGAGCTGCTGTATGATCCACGGCGCAGCCGCCAACGTACTGATGGCTGCTGACTAAGCGACTGATGTTAAACAGTGTATCAATTTGAAATCTTGTTCATCTCATGTGTCTACTAAGCTCGGACTCGATAGTCACAAAAACCACACGCACAAACCTAGGCGCTGTTTGTAACTGATACGCTTCCTAGATGTCAATGGTTGTTGCTTGGGCACGAACTGTTATTAATAACAAGCTCCAACGCTGTGCGCCCCCCCCAACCCTCCCCCCATCCGGCACAAATCATTACAAGTTCTTATTATGTGGGACACCGAATTTAATTTACTCTAAAAATTGGTGCAAGAGTTGGGCGGAGGTAACGCCACAAGGGTTTCACTGTAGTGTAAGCCTGCTCTCTTAGCTGCACAAGGGCTTTTTTCTTCTCACTACAAACTTCTGTGCGATTCACAATAGAGCTTGTTGAGAAAAGACCGATGCTTAAGGTGGCAGACATTATTACTAATAGATGGCATGAGAGCCCGTGGGATACCATTAATTACATGGACCATGCTAAAACACCAGGCTCAAGTTAAAGACATTTTAAGTTGACAGACTACGAGTGAAACGTAAAACAGCTGCTTGCGATGGGGGGAGGAGGAACAGTTTGGCACAAGCACGCAGCAAGAGTAAGCACTTGCACGCATGCACGTGTAATTCCGAATCGCTTAGCGCTTGCTTGTCTGAAAACGTTACCAGCAAATATGGAAGCTTGCTCAACTGAACAAACAATGGAAGGTTCTGTATGTGAATTCTGAACATGTACTATAACAGGCTCCATTAACACCTACATGCTTGCCTCGTTAGGTTACGCCGTTACGGTGACATAAATTCGAACACAACCATTTAAGAGCAATGTCGAATTGTCCTACACTGTAAACGTTTGCGAACAGAGGCCTTCAAACGTTGCCACAAGATATCTCTCTGAACAACAATGGTTACTGTAACGTTTAAAACTTTTATCCCCTTTACAAGATGATTTGCAAAAACCTAGTAGTAGTACTTAGTAAGTTAGTAAAAGTCAAAACAAAAACTACAACTTACAAACTACAGTTTCACGTAAACAAATTCACCGAGGAAACTTTTGTTTTGCAGTCATAGACAATTAAAACCGCACTTACCAGGTGTAGTTTGCCAGCTTAATCCCCCGACAAACATTTTTCTGAAAAAGAAATAAAAACACTAGGTTACACGCTGTACTGTGTCGATACAGACGATAGCGATTCGACCGCCATGACACTGCGACTTGCCAATGCACGGACGCGCCAAAACACAAATTCTGGCGAAGATTTTCACTGCAGACGATCAACATTCCACGGTGAATTCTGCGCTGGTACATACCCTGGGTCATTGTTCCCGTCACTGGGGCTTCCAGAAGGTGACTGCTGAATTTCGGAATCCATTACTATACGATTTCTACACCTAACTAAAATCTACTATCGAAAATTATTCGTCACACAATTTACTGCACGTGGGCACTGTATACTGACAGAACACGGACTGTTGGACTATGGCGCTTCGAGGCGGAGATGTGCGGTGCTCGAAAGGGATATTCGGAAACGTGCACGAAATCAGATGGGAGGTGCGTTGCCGCGCGGCGGCGTATGAATGCGGCTCACTATCTTTAACAGAATTTGAAAATCACCGATACATCCCATCTGCAAGCAACTGAGTGTATATTGAAATACCGTGTTAAACAATTAGGATTAATATTATTTATATACCTAAAGGTTTAATATATCGCCAATGACGGTGGAGCAGGAACCTCCTCTCGAATCGATATCTTCCTATCCGAGAAGTACACTTGAAAAATCAATGATCTTTTGATCGATTATTTCGATACATTACCATAACCATCGGAGTTTTCCTTTCAGGCTCCACGCAGATTTCTTTCCAGTTGGAACTTCTTATGGTTGACATCGTTCGCAATATATTAATTTATTTTTATTAATTTATTAATTATGAAAGATTCATTGACGTTCGATGAAATGAAATTTACTCTAGAATGCTACACAATTTCGATTATAAACCATATAAGCTGTTTGTTGAATGGCTACGTCAGAAAAATATATTATTTGGTTGCATGATCATAGAAATCGTAAACCGGTAGGTAATATATATGTATAAATAATAAATCCATGGCGTTATACGGGCTTCAGTGTTACTGCCCTAGCTACCACTAGTCACCCTTCCAGCAACCATCGGCTGACCTACTCCTATTAAAAATACAATGTCCTTCAAAGAAACTGTTATTTATCGCCAACTTATTATAAAAATTATACTTTCTGGTTTTCGAACGAAATCGTTGCTTTTCATTAAAATAGATGAGTTGAAAATCCATATATTTCCTTTATCATTTTATGCCCGCCTGTTTCACTCGCACCACGTGGCTGTATTATTATTCTATTATACGTTTTCGATGTCCCATTTCTCATTACTGCTTCTTTTGAATACATTCTCTCGAATATCTCACTCGTGTGTTTCAGTGAGACATAATCCCATATGAAATATTAGCATATCCTACTCCTCTACGCTTCTCTTTTTTCATTTCGGTCTCCGAGTCTCCCTAAATGATTTTGCACTAGTTTATATATAGAACATCTTACCGGTCCCGAGATGTAATTTGAATGCAAAATAGGAACACTTGAATATATAATCATGTAATAAATGTAATTAAATTAACTGTACATGCGTATTAATATGCAAGCTAGATTCAGTAAATTTCAACAAAGAAATACATTTTAACACGGACACGAAATTGTTTGCGCATATTAAGTGAAGACAAATTTCGGAAACAGCGAGTGGCTGCCAATACCAAACAAGTTGAAATTATCCACAAACATAAAGTGGGAAATTGAATCACCAAAACTAATACATTAATTCGATAAAACCGCACGAAGTTACTATCGTCCCTTTGAATGTCAATTTTCCCATTTATGAATTCGCCACAATTATATTTTTGTTCGGTTTTGTTATCTTTTGGCACTACTATGGTGTCAACATTTACATCTCTCAGGACGCTTATGTGTATTCTCATTCAACGACCACAATAAGTCTATTATCAAAGAATAGATAAGGGATTTAACTTCTCTGAATCAGTGATCAATCTTCGTTGTTACACACGGATAAATCTATCATAGAAATAGATAGGAAACGCAGCTTTCCCATCTATTTATATACCGGTACCGGTATATTATCATGTTGAGTACATACGTAGTTTAATAATCCACCAATAGAGGGCAGGAGAGTACAGCCAAATACCACTGGCGAACAATTGAACAATCAAAATATGTCAGCTTACACGAGTTTACATGTGTTTAGTTCATATCGTTCCTTGAGATACCGATAACCGCGTTATATATAAATATAACAGATTTGATCTTTTGTTGTATGTATTTATAATAATATACCTATTAATTATGATCAAAGTTATATCGTCCTAGTACTAGTACTTAGTCAGTGTACGTGCTGCCGCTCTGCACTCACTGTATCACGTGACATTGTGACTGTCAATTCAATTCAAAAATGTTTATTCACGCATTACAATATACATAAATAATATAATGGGAATATTAGTATCAGAATTGAGAATTGTCATTGACACAACCCGAATCATGGCGAATGCCTTTACCGAAATTCATAATCATTAATTTCATATTGTGTTATGTATAATTGTGTCATATTGATATTGTGTATAAGGCCAAGACACACTGCAGCGACAACGACCAACAACGACCGACCGTAACGACAAACGACAACAGTCGCGGCGACTGGCGCAGCCACACTGCAGTGACAACGACCGACCGTAACGACAAACGACAACAGTCGCGGCGACTGGCGCAGCCACACTGCAGTGACAACGACCGACCGTAACGACAAAGTTCACCCAGCACTCGATCACCACAGTGCCATAGACCGAAAAATTCTGTCCCATATAACCTTTTTTATATTTTGGTGAGGGTTATATTGGGACAGAACCGGGTTCATTGAAATTTCGTGAGATCGCATGCAAAATGCATGCGCTGCGAATGCGGCCCGTACGCCACTATTGGCGCGGAAAAAAACCTACCGTTCCCTTCTACATGACTTTACCTTGCTACAGATATGTGCACTATCAGAGTGAGTATTACAATAGCCTGGTTCTCGCTTGTATCTGTGGCGCTGCAGGAGGGCTGATAGACTCGCTCTGATTTGTCTGATTGTTTGTAAATGGCGAATGTTATTTACGAAAGTGGAATGAAGTGGGTTTCTGAAAAACAATCTTTTAAGAAGTGAATAACGATTGAAGTGAATGTATACACATATCTGTAGCAAGGTAAAGTCATGTAGAAGGGAACGGTAGGTTTTTTTTCGCGCTAATAGTGGCGTACGGGCCGCATTCGCAGCGCATGCATTTTGCATGCGATCTCACGAAATTTCAATGAACCCCGTTCTGTCCCAATATAACCCACACCAAAATATAAAAAAGGTTATATGGGACAGAATTATTCGGTCTACACAGTGCCAGTGCCAGTGGCACACATGAGCAAACAGCAAAAAAACTGCTGCTGCTGCTTTTAAATAAATTGCTGTAAAAACGCTCTATGTATAACAATAATATAATAAAGTAATATACGCAGCATATTATACGAACGTACACAATAATCACGTCATATGGCGGACCGTAGCCTTGCACGTTTTGGTTAGATGGGTTCGCGGCCCCACTGTTTCTGACAGGCGGTGCGAGTTTAGCACTGGGGACCAGTCTACTTCCTGGCTAGCATTGGTTTATAATTTTATGACGTAATGGCGATGTTACCTGCCGATGGAAACGGCTGTGATTGGCCATTTGTAAAGTGTCGCCGGCGAAAGTCGCGGGAAAATAGAAACGTTTCTAAATATTTTTGTTGTCGAGGTTGTCGCCGGTCGTCGTCGCGTGTGTGTGTGCAATGGCTCATAGGAAACAATAGTTTTTTAATTTTCTGAAAAGTCGTTTGTCGTTACGGTTGGTCGTTGTCGCTGCAGTGTGTCTTGGCCTTTATGCTGTGTCTCCACACGGAACGGCACGGTAACACGCTGCACCGTTGTGCTGAAAAAAAGTAAATTGTGATTTAGCGCATTGCGTCTGAGTGCATTGTGTTCACTCTGGTTCAGTGCACTGAATTTGATCAGAAGTTATACATGTGCTTGTTGTCCAGTGGCTGATGGTGGCGTGAGCAGAACACGTAATAAAAAAAATCGCGTTGATTGGTTCAATTGTCTTTTGCCGTACATGGCATCCGGCAAAAGCCAAACTAATTTGCGGCGTCGCCGTCGGACTTTCGGCGTTGCCGTGAAACCGGGCCAGCGCCGTGCCGTGTCACTGTCAGTGGAGACTGCGCCATGATAAGATATTTATAGATTTAAATTTTGCCGGAACAGGTGATCGGTGCATCTGCTGTGCCGCACCGCGTGTGTGGAGACGGGTCTTTACTGTTAGTATTAGATAGTTATGTGTAGTTATGTGGATGGCAACCACAGGAAATTATAGAACCAGTGTAGGCCTCACCGTAGAGACTAAAGTTGAGTCACTAACACAATTGTGTTAATTACACATATGAATAATCGTAAACATGAACATGATGCTCTGCTTACACAGAGACGATTCTTGTGGCAACATTGGAGATGGCAGTGGAGGGAGAGACCAAGCGCATTTTGGCTCAGTTCAAGAGCGAATCTGGGGAAGTCGTTGGTGCTCCATTTGACCTTCCTGTCGATATCACACCAGAAAAACTGCAGCTGATTTGCAATGCTGTGCTTGAAAAGGTATGTATAATCGTATTGAAAAATGATAAAGTAGAATAGACCATGTGTCGTAAAAATCGTATAAAGAATTGAGACTCAAACTTAAAATCTAAACTGTAAACATTGTAATATATACAGCTATATTTCTGATCTAAGCCCTTCTGCTATCTTTTTTTCAGGAGGAAACTGTACCATATTCTTTCTTCACGAAAGATAAGGAGATCACTGAGAGCTTGGAGAAGACCTTAGCAACTGAATATCGCCTAGAAACAGAAAGCGTTTTGGATATCATCTACCAACCACAAGCTGTTTTTAAGTTAGTAATGTGAAATTAGCAAGTGGTAACATTAAGTAGCAAGGAATTATTGAATTATGAAATTAAGAAGCACATATATTAAGATATCATAAAAAATATAACGTGACTTGAAGCTTGGAAATCTCATTGAGTCTATATATATATATATATGTGCCAAAAAATGTAAATATTATGTTATAAGAATGAGGAAATGTGTGCATTCATACACTCATTCATACACTCATTCATACATTGCAATATGAATAAATCTCTGCAGGATTATAATCCATTTCTGGTCAATAGCAGAAGCAGTGCATCTATTCGATAATAACATACAACCTACTACCTTTGGTACCAATATGCTGATTGTATTGATTCAGAGTGAAAGCTGTCACCAGATGTACAAGCACCATAGAGGGGCATGCTGAGGCGGTGATATCTGTGTTGTTCAGCCCAAGTGGAAGGTAGGTTTTCCCCTACTGTGACAAATCGCACATACATGAATAGGGTGTAGGAGGCCGTGTTTCAAAGTTTCGTGTACATGCTTATGTAATTCTAAGTAATAACTAAACATTGATCTCATAATGACATTGCTCATTTGTTTGCAGTAATCTGGCAAGTGGTTCGGGAGATACAACTGTACGATTTTGGGATGTGAATACAGAAACACCCCACTACACCTGTAAAGGTAATCGAAACTAGGAATGGATATGGCATGCGTGGTATTGTTAAGATGGGATCTGTGCTGAAGACATCGAATGCTATTTCATGTGCATTGATGTGTTTAGGTGCTAATTCTATAATTGCAATTTTATTGTACAATATTTTTTTAACTGTTATCTCTAGGCCACAAGCACTGGGTGTTGAGCATTGCATGGTCACCAGATGGAAAGAAGCTAGCGTCAGGGTGCCGAAATAGCCAGGTAATGGTAACCCATAGATGGACTGGGGAATTCAGTGGATAAAATTTGATAGAAATACTTCACCACGCATCCCGGATTTGCCGCATAGCATGTCGCTCACGTTACAGATCATTGTGTGGGATCCGGCCACTGGCAAGCAACTTGGCAAGACGATGAAAGGTCACAAACAGTGGATCACATGGTTATGCTGGGAGCCAATGCATCTCAACCCAGAGTGTAGGAAGTTGGCCAGTGCGTCCAAGGTAACGTACGCATGGATTCAGTGGATGGCAATGACTTCTAATTACAGAGAAACTAACCAAATCAGTTCTCAGCGGCCACTATGTGGCAGCACTGGGTAGTGAGGTGGATTTCGATTAAGGTGGCAGTCGATTGCGTGGTTTCAAGGATATTCTCGTAAATTCAGTTATTCACTGATCGTCTTGTCATGGTTGTTTCATTATGATCTGCTGTTGCTTTGTCCTGTAGGATATGACCGTGAGGATCTGGGACACTGTCCTTGGTCACTGTTTGATTTCAATGTCCAGTCACCTGCAAAGTGTCACTAGTATCAGATGGGGTGGCACAGGACTCATCTATTCTGCCTCACAAGATCGCACCATCAAAGTATGGAGGGCTGACGATGTAAGTGAACTATTGCTGTAAATAAAACGTATTATGGTAAATAATTCCCACTCCTTTAAATTTTGTCAGTGTGAGGTAAAATGTACAAGATTGGCTAATATTCTCTCATGTTTCACTGGCAAATCTTAAAGTAGTGTATGAACAATTCGACGCATTCATAGGTTAAATTGTAAAAGATTATTTTTAGTATTTTACTTTTTTATATTTTTTCTGGCCTAAACATTAAAGCTGGATAGAAAAAACAGCATAAAAAGACCAACATAAAAAACATGTTTCACCATGTACTGTTCTAATGATCTATACTTCTGTTGTTGGCTGTATTTACAGGGGGTAATGTGTCGTACACTACAAGGTCATGGACACTGGGTGAATACTCTGGCATTGAACACGGACTATGCGATCAGAACAGGGGCCTTCGACCCTGCAGAAGCACAGGTTGTGCCGCAGTCAATCACGGGGTCGCTGGAAGAGCTAGCAGAAAGAGCACGCGCTCGATACAACGCGGCAAAGGTAACGAATTGCTGGAAGATCGTATACTTAGATGATATAGATAGGGTTTGAACAGATCCTGGAAATCCTTGAGAGTGCTGGAAAATGGGCTATGGTCCTGAAAGGACTTGAAAATTGTGTTATTATTATGCTTTAGCCATAAAAAGTCTTGGAAGTGGAGGACATGTCTACTGTGTTCACATCTTGCCAATGATAATAGCAATTAAGTTGAATATACTGAACATATCATAATTTATTCCAGAAATTTTCCACGGGTTTTGCAAATGCCTCCAGGGATATGGGTTAAATCTGAAATAAATCTTAGAGAAGTCCTGGAGCAATATTTTGCCTTAGGTGTACAAATCACTCATTATTTACCAACTGAATGCTGTGGTGATGAACAATGGTACCAAGTGGCTTGTATAGAGATTGTACAGCGACATATGGATCGGTGTAGCTTGGTTTGATCGCAAGCCATTTGTAATCTGTACAAATTAGTTTTCTGATCATTTCGCCATTGTGGCCTACCATGGTGTGACGTCTCGTGCCCAACATTCCAGGGTGATGGCCCAGAACGACTGGTCTCTGGTTCAGACGACTTCACGATGTTCCTGTGGCATCCGGAGGTCGAGAATAAGTCGGTGGTGAGATTAACCGGACACCAGCAGCTGATAAATGATGTGAAGTTCTCGCCAGACGGTCGTCTCATCGCCAGCGCTTCCTTTGACAAATCCGTGAAGCTGTGGGACGGAAAAACTGGAAAGTGAGCTGCTTGGAACGGCGCTATGTGCTTGTGACATTATTTCTAAGGAATGGTGTATCAGAATGACATGTTTCTGAGGATGATTATGTGATAATGTCAAACTTGTGGGGCATTCTACTTTTTGTTAGGGAATGACCATATCTCGATGGTAATAAGAAAATGGAGAGAAATATATTCTGTAATTACACAAAGAACGGTAATAAGAAACACTAACCATGATTTGAGACGTTTTTTTAAATTATTTCATTGCGTAAAACGAGCAAAGAAATAATTTTTTAACTGATTTTCATATCTATCTGCCAGAAAAATATCTATTTTCAACCGTAACCTGTGAAGACTTGCACACTTGAATGTTGCCAGGTTCCTGTCGACTCTGCGAGGACATGTTAAAGCTGTCTACCAGGTGGCGTGGTCGGCCGACTGCCGCCTGCTGTGCAGCGGGAGTGCCGACTCAACGCTGAAGGTGTGGGACGTACGCGCCAAGGCATTGCTGAACGATCTGCCTGGTCACGCCGATGAGGTGAGACGATGCTCGTGCAGTCACGGGTGCCGCGCGCCGTCAGATAAGACGGTTCCGTAGACCGTGGACAGCGTGGACTCTTCTACTGTGGGTCAATGAGCTTTCAGAAGCGCTGACTTATCATTCGGGTTATTTTTCTGTGTATCAAAATTGTTCTGTTGTGAATGTGCTTTTCTTCTCGGCATGGCGTTATCGTCAACTAGATTGATTGTGAACTTTTACCTATAGCAAAGCACTTTTCGTTTCACCGACTGTCAATAGTAAAACTGACACTACTTGTGTTATGCAGTATTTATGTTTTGTTCCTGTTTAGTGATGATACCTTAACAAAGGTCAAGTGTCAACAATCATTAACTTAAATTGACTACGTCATGAATTTTCTATGGTAAAATTTGTAAAAAAAAAAATTGCCATTTTTTTACATTAAAAGTAAGAACTAACCTAAACGTATCGTCAAATTCTTACCTGATAAGATTGTTTCTCAACTAGTTAAAAATCCAAAAATCCTGGACGATTTGATATTAGTGTTCCTAACATTAATTGCTTGCTATGGGCTATGTATGAGTCACGAGTGTATGTTCACATCGACCAATATAGTAAAATAAGAAGTATAATGCAGCAATTTAACCATAAAAAGTGAACAGAATCACATATTTTGTGAAAAAGTGGGATTTTTCATTATTTTTTTTTACTATTTACGGTGACGTAATCACTTTAAAGCACTCCCTCTCTTTTGAGGCCCCTTTTTCCTCCCCATAGTGACAAGATGACGAACTATAGATTAGAAAACATTGGCATTATTTTTGTTGTCTGGCACAGGTGTATGCAGTTGACTGGAGCCCAGATGGACAAAAGGTGGTCAGTGGTGGGAAGGATAAGGTGCTGAAAATGTAAGTATATCATGTCAAATGTGTAAAAACAAGTGCCGCGGAGCGACAGCGCTCATCTGACGTCTACTGCGGTGACTCTGTGAAATTTTACTGTGACATTGTAGCCTCATACATCCAGGCATGTATAGATTCTACTAGCAAACCCGGCAGTCAAATTCTTTCTAACAGACAGTAAACAAATCCATGTTTAACCCTCCTCTTGAGGGTCAAAAGGTTATCCGACACTTCGCATGTCAGCAGAAAGTACATTTCATGGTCCTTTCAATAAAGCCATAAAAATGCTAGGTCACCGCTGAAACAAAAAAGTTTTTCAATTGCTCCGTCAGACCATGTCCTCAGAAAATGTCTAAAATCTGCCCTGTGCCCCATTGACCTTTGACCTGTGACCTCCAATTTCGGCACAGTGATGGCTTTTCCTACCATGATGCTATACACCGACTATCACGAGCCTAGGTCGAGCCGTTTAGATTTGTGCCGCAATTCTGCATTTCCTCCTTATACCGTAAGTTAAGGAGGGAATGTTCCCCCTTCTTTTACACTTCTTGACCTTTGACCTTTGACCTTTGACCCCCAGCTTCGACATCCCAACTCGTTTTCGGATTACCCCCCCTCCCACCCCCACGTCCCGAATATCTGTGGACACGTATTCTCACGTATGCTCACGACCGACTACGTCAGATGAGCTAAAAAGCTACTGATCTTGTTTCTACGTGTGTATATTCTATTATATGGCATGACAGGGTAAAAAATCCGTCTCAAATGAATATATATGAAAATATAGAAATTTAGAGCAAGAACAAGACGTAAGGGAAATTCATTGGTCGACTACTAATTACGCTTTCTTCTTCTTCCTTTAGATGGCGACGGTAGGTCTGGCTGTGGAAGTTGGTCAGCAGAAGTTACATCGAGGCAAGGCGTGTTTATATGTATAAATATATGTAAAATAAATTTCCTTTTAATTGGATTTTTATAATAGCCTTATGTAATTATTTTACTGATTAACAAGTGCATTATATTTTTCTACAGTAACGATAAAACAGCCAAATATTTGTGACATATGATAATACAAAATCAAGACAAGATTTAGGATCTGAAGATGTTATGTTCTAAAAATATACATGGAGTGAATACTTCAAATACATAATACATGGATTTCAACAACTGTGTCCTATCATGGTATCTTACACATTCAAATTCATTTCACATTTCGATCAGCATTTCAAAACCTCAATAAAAATTCTCAATCTGTGACTACATAAAATTCAATTCAAGATGGAAAAACAAATACGCACAAACTACTAAACTAAGAAAACAAGATTTGCATGTTAGATATCTATAAAATTGGCGAAAAACTGCACAATAATAAACATCACTGTTGTTATTCAATACGAAAATACATTGCACTTCCTTTAGCATAAAACGGTGCTATGCATCTGCAAACGATACAGATTCCGTAATTAATTACCCAACAGAACGTGACGGTTCTTGTATAAGATAGACGTGTAGATCTGCTACAATGCCAGCCATGGATGAGCATTGAGGGAGGTCTTGCTACGGTCTCCGTAGTCGTAGAGTAATTCCTCACCCGCTTCTACATCGCGCGACGCCACCAGTATGAGGTGCGGCTGCGCTCCTACTGCAACCTGCCTAGATTTCACATTGCCCTTCCTGCTGTGGTTAATGAGCCTGCCTAGCCGACCTGACTCCGCTGTAGCATCCACGCTGGAAGGCGAGTAAAAACCACGTAAAGCGAACAGCACTGCACGAACACGCAGCAGTGTGTTAGCCGGAGACCCATCTACCCGTCTTTTGGACGGCCTATTCTTGGATGAGACGGATGAAATTTGATAGAGACGGCAAGCTTATAAGAATATAAAATCATATCAGATTCCTTTCTTTTTGGCATTTCAGACTAAATTTCCTCCATTTTAAGGTAAGGCCCTCCCCCTAGGGCGCTTCGCACCCACAGCATCCTCGCTTTGCTCAGATGGTGAGACCCTTGATTTTTTTCCCTGGCTAACACCCTGACAAGCAGTTACTAAACGTCACAAGAAACAACAACAATATACCGACGGCTGTTTTTATGGCGGAAAGCGTGATCGAGAAAACTACTTCAGTCTATGCTCACCAGCACACCTCAGCCATCCGCGATCTACGACGCGTCGCTTCTACATCGCAACGCCAGCATGTGAATTTATATCGAGAAATGAGGCCGATCGACACTCACCAGTACTGCTTCGAGTTGAACGTGAAGTAATACATGTAGCAGCCGTACGTGTCGGGGGTCGCTGCATACTGCTCCTCCCTGAGTTTAGCGACGTCGACGCTGATCAAATCCCCGTGGTACTCGACGACAAACTCACCACGCTTGAACGGTTTGGTGGCGACAACCCCACGACCTTTACCAACGATATCCACGACCTGTGCAGAGTGCAACGTCGCTATATTAAATCACAACATTCAGTGACAATCCCTTCAGCTTGCTTTTGCTCTTATATAATGAAAGCGTATTACATATATATCCTAGATGCAACAAGAGGCCCACAAAGTCTGATGTTTACAGAATCTCCGTACCTCTAAGCCGTCCTCTCTGCCACTCAGTATGTATTCTTCCAGCTGCTTCTGCTTACATTCCTCTTGCACCGACTTGGACATTCGTGTGCTCCTCCGTACGGGAAAGAAATCTGTGATCAACTTGGACGGTGTGCTGTTGGTTTCCTTGCTCTTTCCTCTGCAAACAAGTTATCATGAAATATATATTTAGTAAACAGGGGTAGAAATTAACTTCTGAACAACGGACTCCCTGCCCTCAAAAACAGGGAGTCCGCAGCAAAAGGAGGTAGTCCGCACTCTGAAGTTCAAAACTGAATAAATTTTACAATAACGCATGTGCTTATTTTAGTTTCATGAGGTTGCATCTTGCATGTCTGCCAAATTTTCTTTGGACATTTACTGAAACATTTCGCGAGGCCGTGCTCTGGAACGAACTAGTTAGTATAGCAGAATTTTCAAGGAGTCACACGGACTCCTGCATATGTCAAATCAGGGAGTCCGATAGTAAATCGTGGAGTATTTGACTCCGGACTCACGTTAATTTCGCACCCTGTTTAGTGAGCATATGCATCTACAGATCAGTGACGAAAATTCTCTACACGATAAGAAACAGATTCTTGAAGCATGACTCGTCATTTCAGTTTATTCATAACAGCAGTTACATTGTTACCTATTCCCACGTATTTGAGTTGCTTTTGTGTCACTCTTCTTTTGGCCCCGCCCTCGGCCATTTCCGTTTTTAACTGGAGGTTGCACCTGCTTTGTCTTCACTAAAGACTCAAAAGGTGATAAGGTGGGTGTTGATTTTTCTTCCCTTTTCTTAGTGGGTGTGGAGTCTGGAGTCAGAAGCACTGTGCTGTCACTCAGATCTAAGAAGTTGAAAAAAATGCTATTAAAATTTAACATAATACATTTTGCAGATTGTTTGGTTTAAATAAAAAATTATTGCCGTAGATGTATTTCACACAGATCCGTTAATGTAGGCACTACTTCCTCTATGCATAATACACATGTATGCTATATTAAGTAAAACACATGTTTTACTTCATAATAGTATATGTATGTGTATAACTGTATATATGTATATAAAGATACCAGACATGCATTACAGAGCCTAGGCAAACATTTATTATTGTGTTTGTCAAACAATGGAGGGAGTGATTGTGCTGGAAACATGCACAGGCAAGAGAGTAGTTTGGCCATTAGCCGAACAAAGCAAACGTGTTTTCTAGAAAGAAGTATACGAGCTGGAATTAGTTTGCTTTTATTCTATATACTCCCAACCACACCTCTAAGATAATAGCACCCTGGCAGCCTGTGCATCACAATCAGTGGTTTTCAAGACTGGTACACTGTCATTGGTGCCCCCGTGTGTTAGGTATCCAATCTTTAACATTCTCGCCAATATCCCAGACCTCCACATCCAGGCATAGACCTGCACCACTGGAACTACAATAACCTACCCGATTTTCTTAGAAATACAGCAGTACACCAAACGTTCTTAACAACTATCTAAATACCATAACAACACGGAGACATTCTGTTGCCACTATGTTCTGTACCTGTAGCTTCAAATTCCGTTACTTCAATCTTCAGATGCTGTTCTTGAGTCAATTCGACTTTCGTTTCAGCGTCGTCTTGTCGCACTTCGCCGATGCATGGCTGTGGTGGAGGCTTAACGTTGTTACTTGCATTACACAAATTTTCGAGACAGCCGTCCAACCTGGTCAGGTCTGCATTCTTCTGCAGCACCGGAGGTTCCAGCTCTCCTGTCTCACTGTCATTGCTACTCAAATCTCCACAGCAGTTAGAGAGTGAGGGCAAACTGGACCCATTTACAGGAGGGACTTGATTAATGGCGGATTCTTTACAATTGTCTATTGCGGCACGTAGATGGTCGCCACTTCCATCACATGGTGTGCAATGTGGCACGGGAGACGTCTGTGCAATTGTCAGTGAAGATTTATTGTTAGCTATCTTTGGCACGGGCGACGCTGTACTTGGTGACTGAGGAATCACCTTCGCTTTGTTACCCGCCCTCTTTCCTAAAAGTAAAAATTACATAACGACTATAAAGTAAGTAGTAAGACTACTGCTAACACTAATTTAACTTACTGTTGTTACCGAAATTAAATTAACAATACTATAAGGCTCGACACTAGCGGTGGCCCGGTGGCCCGGGGCCACCAAAACTTGATATCGGGCCACCAAAATTTCCAAAAGTTAAAATTTGGTGGCCCGAACGGGCCACTAAAATTTCAAAGTGTCTATGTGATAAAAATAATTGTTTCTTACGTGCTAATCTCATTCAAAAGAGAGCGAGCAATTCGCGGAGCGAGGGCACACGTACGCACGTGCAGCATTCTACCGCGTGCATACACGGGCGCACGGTTTATCCGTCTACTGCGGCTGCAACAAGCCACGTTATTGTGTTAGACTGGTATCCGGCCTCACGCTCTGCTAGACAATGTACACGCTCTGCGACGAACAGTTCGGCCGCGAACCAGTCTAGCCAGAGGTCAAAATCTGAGCGGGCGCAGGCCATAGCATATTTTGCAAGCGCCAGCATACATGTGATTACATTGTATCAAGCGAACCAGACAATGCGGTTCTGGTGAAAATTTGATGCCGTGGAATGGATAATTCAAATGTATGCCTCAATCATCAATGTCAGTGTGTGGGGTTTGTTTAAAGACTTGTGCAAGTGCATCAGACGGCCCAATTTTCAAATAATATACAATACGAGATTGAAATAAAGATTTATAATGTTTTTCTTTGTTTTTTTTCGGGCTACCAAATTTTATTTTCGGGCCACCAAAAATTGAAAATCAATGATTTTGGTGGCCCGATCGGGCCACTGAAAAAAAAAGTTAGTGTCGAGCCTTGAGTATAATATATAGTCTAGACTTTAGTAATACTCGTGATTGTTTTCCACCCTTGAACTTGGAATTCCTGCCCCGGGGAATGAAATCACAACCATCATGATCAACATTACCAACATTCATTGTTTTATCACGAGTCATTGTGTTGCCAAATTTGTCTCTCTCCGTATTCGGTAAAGTCCCTAAACATTTGAAGAATAACCATTACGACTACGAGATTACATTCTCAGTGTCACTGCCTACTGTATTTATTGCCTGTAATACTGTATTGTTACTCCTCGCACTACGGCGGCCAGACGACACAATAGTATTCATAATGCACCACTTACCTGCTCTACCTCTCCTGCCCATTTTGAAGTATAAGATGGATACACAAATATAGTATTACAAGCTACTTCAAGTAAAACGTAAATGGGTTTTAAACTTCAATGTTTTCCTTTTTCGAAACAAGGCACGCGCCATGATGCTTTGCTCTGATTGGACGATCTATGTTACAGGAATCCAGCCGCCGCATCCATGTACAATGCTGGCGACTTGCACACAATTAGCGGCTGGATTTACGTGACTGCTTACTATTTTCGCGTTTCATATCGTTCCGCGGAGAAATACTGCACAAAAACAATAAACACATTTTAATGTTGTTACGAAAATATTTGATGAAAATTGTTGTGGATCTTATTTTATAAGCTATAATTGTGGGTTCGTCCAATACTGGCGAGGAAGCTAAATAAACTTTGGAACTAGTTTCACTAGAGCGCGTTTTCCCGGTATGTGCGTTCGTTGGTTAGTGAGACATGTCATGTCAGATTTTGCCGTTTTTCACAAAAATTGCCAACTAGGATGGCATCTACACAGTTTGTCCCAGCACTGTGTGCGTGGTTGATGCTGTTGTCGGTGTCTGGGCTATACTACGCCTTTCCGTAAGTATATGTTTGAAGACTATTCACTAACTGTGTACTGGTCAATCTGTGTTGTTGTTACTCACTTGAGCTCACTGACAGTGACAGTGACAGTCGCGTTGTTTAGACTTGGCTTTCCGTAACTTGCTGACCTGACTGAATGTAGATACAAAATGAAAATGCATCGCTTAATTAACTTGTATTTCCCCTGATTAAACTATTATTATGCAGCATACTATAGCAACAGATAACTCGTTGCATAACACGTCATCTTGCATTTGCATACACTATTGAAATTGTGTGATATCTGTCATTCTGTGATGCAGGAGAGTCCGAGAGAACTGGGAGTGATGATACTAGGTTTGCCTCTGGTCCATATTACTTGAGTCCCAATGTACATATATAATGTATCATCATCATACTGCACCATCACTCGTACCCAACCCCTAAATGCCAACTTTACCCGTAACCTTATTCCACCCAATCATTATTTGATGGATCGTGAGCCCTGGAGTAGACTCATCTGTTACGATTAGAATTACTGTAGAATCCTGCCCAATCCTAGTTTGAGACCCCGCTAATATGTTTTAGCACATATACTAAATTAATCCGCGATGCCGGTTAATGCAGTAGTAGCCAACACACATTAAATGCGCTTCAAGTAGTGTTTGCACCTTTGCACAGTGAGGTGGTCGTGGTGCGAATACTATGACTTTATGCATTATTGTGAGTCTGGGTGCATTCTCGTACTGTATGCACACATGGCTCAGCTAGGCAATGTGCAAGTTTTTGTTAAATTATGAATTGCATTAGCCTAGACCTAGGTGGTAGAGCTGTCTGTCTGTGTGCACTGTACTGTACCATGGCATTTTGAATGCACCTTCTTTAGTTTGTGTGACCTCACATCAGCAACCAATTAAATTTTTTTCCAGGAATTAACCACATGGTCATGAGTTAGTCGTACTGATTAGGTAATAATAGCTATCATTTATGATATAATAACTGGCAAAGGAATGTGCGATTGGAATAAAATCCCATTCGTTTAGGAAATATTTTTATAAATTAGTCAAAGGGAGTTTCAGATTTGATTGGATGGCCCTAATATCTATTTATCTGTCTATCTGTCTATCTGTCTATCTGTCTGTCCATCCGTCCATCTATCTATCTATCTATCTATCTATCTTTCCCTTTATCTGACTATATATAGTAGAAAAGGTCTTAGGTTGCACGATATTCAGTTATAATGAAAAAAAGAGAATAATCTATTAACATTTAGGTATACACAAGAGCTTCCATCTTTTTGAAATTGTCTTATATATAATTATATATATATATATAAGTCATATAAGTGCGTATATAAACTTTGTAGGCACCTGAGATTATATTTCATTCCCCTGAGCTGTGTATCCTCAATATCAGATCAAATTTTCATATATATGTATATATATATATATATATATATATATATATATATAAATAATCATTATCACTATCGTGAGAGACTCGTGCGATGATTGTAATGTGTTTCACGAATTACAGTTAATCAATTACCAGTGCTCTTCTCCATGCAAAGATATTCTGATTAGATGTAACAGCAGCGGCCATGTCAGCTTTCACTGACCTACAGTCAGACCGCAGGCGTGGTGGAACCCCGTTTCGAGAAACCAACTCTCAGTGGGCATATACGTCCATGCTATTCCATGGCAATAAACTTGCATCGATTATCCGCTGTCCCTAAACAGTTGATTAGATATTTCGGTTGGAGCAGTCGTGTTTCGCATTTCATGTGATTGTACGCGGCACCGGGTCATCCATTTTAATACAAGTGCGCGGTCACCATAAAAACGTGCGTGAGCCGGTTACTGGCCGTCGAAGTAATTGCGTGTCCGTAGGGGTGTGCGCTTATTTAGAGAGAAAATAAGCAGCATCTAGCATCGCTGCGGCATACGAATGGAGGCAAATCGCCGCCGCCTGTCAGCATAATGTACCGCGAGGTATTAACATCTGCACAGGAGTAATGTGAAAATTGTCTTCGGAACAGACCAGACGTTCGTACCGCTAGCAACACTGATGGAAACACGGAACTTGATGTCGGGTGCCTTGGAGGTTGTGTTAAGTGTTTGCAAATGGCAATTTAATTTGCGATTTTGTCAACCTGCTTAGAAACTGGTTTGGGCATGCTCATCTCTCATGGAAAATTGCACATTCTAAAAGTGGCGGAAACCATGCTTGCAAAGAACTACAGCCACTTTATTGCTGAATTTTAACTGCATAATATGTCCCAGCGTGTGGTTGCATGAAATGCACATTAATAGTGCAGTCATGTACATGCACATTCAGTAAATCAATACACGCGCGTGTCACTCCCTCATCTCTCTCTCTCTCTCTCTCATCTCTCTCTCTCTCTCTCTCTCTCCCCCTCTCTCTCTTCTCTCTCTCTGCTCTCTCTCTCTCTCTCTCGGGCGCTCTGCCTCCTCTCTACTCTCTCTCTCTCTCTCTCTCTCTCTCTCTCGTCTCTCTGCTCTCATCTCTCTCTCTCTCTTTCTCTCTCTTCTCTCTCTCCTCTCTCTCTCTCTCTCCGGTCTGTACCCGATGCGTGTGTGTTTGTGCTGCGTGTATGCCTGCATGCGCGAGTGTTGCGTCGGGATTGCGCGTGTGCCGTAGATTCATGTGCCTTCCGTCGTGCTGTGTGCTGCGCATTTGTTTACGCACCGAGGTGGGCAGTATTGTTTCATTAGACGTGGTCATGCCTTTGTACAATACCTCTATTCCAATTTTCCTAAATTAGAGAAATTGGCTTGTCTTACAGTCTACAGGTAAGTTATAAACATAACTGCACATTACATACGCAAAAATTAATCTCTACCGTAATCGGCTCCCTGTCATTGTCGCAGCGCCAACTTGCGCAGTGCGTGACGATAACATGACTCAGAAATCCGTTTTTATAGCATCCAACGATTAATTTCGATTAAAATGTGCGCCGCTAAAAAGAGTCCCTATAAGAACTCCGGAAACCAGCCTGTGGAACCGTTCTGGGTATTGTCTGCCTATGGTATCTTTGATGCACTTTTCTCTGCCTGTTGAAATTCAAGTCAGTTATTTTTGTCCTTTACATTTTTAATGCACGTTGTGACACCTTCAGCTGCGCTACATGCGTTGATGCTATTTAGGGTATAACACCACACACTCTAGCGTCTATTTATCTATACCGCTCTCTTATCGTCCGTTTGCGAGGCGCAGGCCTGTGTGTCCGAATAGTGGTTATCCAAACGCCCTTCGAACCGTTCTGCAATTAGATATTATCTGTGCTTCGGTGTCTTCTGAACTCGTGGTTTAGATGGTTTCGCTCATTCGATACGTCTATAACTAGCCAAGCACGGGCGCGAGATGAGAGAAGACTTTGTGGGCTTCACACATGTTGTTTCATGCTTACATGTTGTACACATGTATTCGTTTATGTATGTTCACACGTTCACACGTTAACATTACGGTGGTTTCAGGGTGCCAAAATTAACGGAGTCTGGAGTCAAATACTCCCTGATTTACTGCCGGACTCCCTGATTTGCATATATGCAGGAGTCCGTGTGACTCCCTGAAAATTCTGCCATACTAACTCGTTCATTCCAGAGCACGGCCTCATGGGAATTACCGTATTTTTTCAGCCAATGTGCAAAGAAAATTTGGCAGACGCTGCAACCGCATGAATCTTCAAAATAAGCACAGATTTTGAGGGCAGGCAGTCCGTTGGACTCCCTTGTTCAAAGTTAATATCTACCCCCAGGGGCCCATTGTCAGAAACAAATTAGTCCATTTAACCTTAACATTAACTTTTTCCCTTGAGCATGACAGAAACTTTCGTAAATTAAAAGAATTAAAAATTTCTCGTAACTTTTCTTTTAACTTAAGAGAGATCCTAGACCCTCCCTTAACTTTAATATTAAGTTGAAAATAACACATTTACACTCGAATTACAATTATAGTGATATTATATTTTTATAATAATGAGATAAAATGTGTGCTTTTCTTTGCAACAAACACTGTACTGAAATAATATTCTGATTAATTACTTGGACGGGTATGGCTAGTCTACCGCTAATAAAACAAAACAATACATTTACAAATGACGTATGGCATTTGTTCTCTTGTTTTAAAGGTTTGCAACGCTTGCCACGATTCTCGCGTCTCGCGTTGCAGTGTGAGAATTTGTCTTGTTGTGCAGAATAAATTCATGACCACGTAATTTTTCATCAAATATTATTTATATGTGGTTAGCCATCATTAGTGATGTCACGATCATCGGTTGAACAGTGGCTCGAACCAAGCGCTTGGTTATGAAAATCCATAATCAATTTCATCGGATTATTATTATTTTTTTAACTTGAACAAGAAAACTTGGAAAAGTGATGAGAATCAGAGATATCATCGCTACTATACAAGTTATCCTTTATTAACATACATGTATTATACACACAGTAGTAAATAGTGCAAAACAAACAGTAAACAGGGCTAAAGAGGCACATACATGCACACACGTACATGCGCACGACGTTGCGCACACGCAGGCATTCAACAAAAATGGGAGTGTGATTGCTCGGGTAATTCTCGAGCAATTCTCAAGGTCACTTCGGCAAAACGCTTGTTAAAGTGATCGATGCCATGCAAATTAATACTAATTAAATTGCCATCCGAGTAGCAAGTGCATGCATGTATGTATCAGGCAGCATCGGGAGCAGGGTGTTACTGTTAGCCAGGGAAAATATTCAGGGAGTCTCACCATCTGAGCGAAGCGAGGATGCTTCGGGCGCGAAGCACCCTAAGGGGGAGGGCCTTACCTTAAAATGGAGGAAATTTAGTCTGAAATGCCAAAAAGACAGGAATCTGATATGATTTTATATTCGTATAAGCAGCTGCACTGTTGTCAATAACAAGGTGTATAATATAATATATAAAATTGGGCCGCCCTCATGCCATCTCTATCAAATTTCATCCGTCTCATCCAAGAATAGGCCGTCCAAAGGAGG